AAAACCAAAAAATGAACTCACATAAGACAAAAGATGAGAAGCCATGAAATAGATTGATAAACCTTTGGTTGATTGAATAACGTCAGTTAAAGCAAGGGGTAACATCCTCGTTATTAAAGTGGCCCAAAACTTATTTAATATAATAATCAACTAATAACAAGTAGCTGGTTGTTCTTGCACACTATTAACCAGCAATTAACTTTAATGTTCAAGTATTTGTGTCGACACTCTAAAGTGAAACAAAATTTGATTTGAAGAAAGTATTGCTCAGATCAAAATTATAATTACCTTTAATGTTCATATCATTCTATCATCCGTTCCTTTTTCTCTTCACCCACTCTCCACCCTCTGTCTAATCTCAAAGATACTGTTAATTACATTCCACTGACACAGCTCATCACGATTAATCATCCTAATAAAAAGGTAATTGAGAAATCAATATTGGCTTCAATTCAATTAGCGTAACGGTAGCAACCTTGGATTTTTTAAAAGGGGATTCCCTTCGTATTTTAACACACAAATCAGTAATAATAATAAAGTCTAGCATAAAATCTTGATCAACTGACTCGGCTTGATCAAGATTCAAGCTAATTAAGTTGACCATGTAAAAGGATAACCAAAAATTAAGATGTGTTTCTGTTAATCAAGACGAGACTAAATCGGTAGATTGATTTTGAAACATTTGCCGCAACTTGCACCATTATGGCCTTTTCAAGTGGTCAAAAAACTGTAGCATTAGGATTGTCAAAGATAAAAAAATATGAAGTCAAACTGGAACTGAAACTTGTTTTGACTGGCCATGTTGGATTTGGTAAACATTTAATCCTTTTAAAAACTTGCTCCAAGTGTCTTCAATATGTATTTTGAGTCCAATCCCAGTCACGATAACATCTAATTTTCAAAGTCGAAAGAATTAGGTTTAAATAGAAAGTAAGCAAAAACTTTATCCAAATCACACGAGGTGATAACTTTAAATGATCTTTAACTAAATCAAGTCTAAATCTTATTTTTTATCTGACTTATTGGATTGTCAACTTTTAATCCTTTAGAACATCGACTTAAATGTCTTTCACAGACAATTGTTTTCGTGAACTGTGAGTATACCACTCATTGTCAGTATTCAG